CTCTCAACGGCAGAGAGGAGAACTCCTCCCGGCCATTGAGAGTGTCGGGTTTCACCTCTCAGCTGTTGAGAGCTCTTGACGGCGAGGGGAAACCCTCTCGGTGTCGAGAGTGTACATACCCTCAACGGGCGAGAGGGTTTCCCCTCTTGGCCGTTGAGAATGCGGTCTCGCGGCCGGGAGGCATCCTCCCGGCCGCTGCCGTGGGGTGGGGGTTGATTTGGTTTATCGACCCCCAAATCCTGGTCGGTTTGGGAGGATCGACTCCCAAATCAACCGGGGGTTTTTATTTTTTTTTATTAAATTCTTAGGGAGTCGACTCCCAAACCAGTCGACGGTTTTGGGGGATCGACTCCCTAATTTTGGGGGTTTCGGGGTTTGGGAGTCGACACTCCAATTTTGGGGAGTCGATTAACCAAGCCCCTAAATTCCCCTATGTAAAAGTCTGATATAAAATCAGTTATGTTGACATTAAATAGGTTAGGCTGATGCAATATCTTTCATGATAGACACAATATCATTTTAGGTAGATAGAATATCACTCCTGACAGATATAATACCAGTTCTGCCTGATGTAAAATCTGATTTTTTCATCTGATGTAATGCCAGATGTGGGAATCTGATCTAATCACATTTGTAGTGTCTGATCTACGTCATATTTACATTGGTTGTGAGAAGAAGAAAAAGACTCTTGGAATTGGTACAACCATCAGTTTTTTTAAAAAAAAAAAATTCAAGTGTGCCATAACAAATTGGATTTCTATGCTGCCAAAACAATATCTGTAACTAGTATATGCCCCCAAATTTGGGGAGGCTGCTTGTTTTTGCCCCGGATGTTGGGGGTTTTACTCAATGACCTTTGGGGTTTTGTTGAGTTGGACACCTGTCTGCCTCGATCTAACGCCGGCGTCGACAAATCCAACAAATGTGAATTGGAGGTCGACACCGTCGTTTAGACTGCATGACAGTTTGTTTGGCTCTCTACACGGCGGTTGCACGATTTAAGGTTTTGCTCGGCAAATTGCCGCGCGAGTCAAACAACCGCCAATCCGACCTGCAGGCCGTCAAATTGACGGCCAAATGCCAGGCCGTCCACCGGCTCTTGAGTTCAGGCAAGTTAACATAACTTGCCTGGGTCGATCGTCCCGAAAAATTCCCTGACCATCCATCCGCCGACGGGCCCAATGGTAATTTGCCGTCAACCAGTGTTGACGGTCATTTGACGGTTATATTGTAGCACACGGGCAACAAGCGCACCCTCCCAAAGAAAATTAAGTGCGCCCTCCCAAACGAAAATTTTTACAAGTCCCTCTTTTCCCAAGTCCCTCTCATCTCACCTCATCGAACTCCTCATCTCTCCTTCATCTCACCTCATCGAACTCTTACTCATCCACCTCTTCACATTCAGCCACACTCAAGACAGCTAACTTGGTCATAAAAATCAGTTTCTTCCTTTTTTATTGCAGTCCTATTTATTAATTGACAAGTCAGTTAACTCAACTCTTCAATCCATGCTTGCTGGCGTTGTAAAAGGAAACCGCGCTCTCCACTGATAGCAACTTTGGCTAGTTCTGGAGGGGGTGGTATCTTTTCTAGTGTTGTGATCATCTCTTTTCGATCCTTGGGTGTCAGGTGAGGCCACGTTTTTTTCTTCTAATTGCGATTTTCTTTTTTGTTTTTTGCTATAATCGAACTTATCTTCATCATCATGATCATTTTTAGCTGGGGAGCTTTTGCCAAAAGGATGTTCTTTGCAGACAAAAAACACGTGAGTCAATTATGACATCCCAAAAGTCTGATATTGTAATCCGAAAGCATAACTGAATTTTTCTCGTGGGTTAAATGAAGGAGCTCAATGCAACTATTAGTGTCCAGGATGACAATGAGAATCAAGAAAGACCAGGAGATCGAGCTCAACAGGGCCACAGCAAAACTATGCCAACTACTCGATCAATCTGTTTCCCATCTCAAAGCATCATCATCATCATCCACCAACCAGGACTTGAATTCACTCACTCCGAGGATCACTGGTGGTTGGGTCAGAGATAAGGGCAGGGTTTCGATTAACAAAAGATCCTATATAAATCATTGAAAAACAGGAAGCTAATACTGGTTTGTGTTGATGTAGTTACTTGGGGTCCAATCTAACAATCTAGACATAGCCATCTTATCCTCAACGGGGCAAGACTTTGCCACCCGATTCTCGAGCTATATGCGAGACCAACAACAACTGAAAAGAGAGGGACAGAGCGAGAATCAGGAGACCAGATCACAACCATCGAGGCCAGGCCCGATCAGAGCAAACATCTTAAAACTGCCACCATTACCTTCCTTGGCTTGGAACTCGACTTTGCCCAACTCAGAAGCAAGGAATACAGCGATCAGGATAGTCGCATCCCAAGCTCAGTCATTAGTCTTTTTTTGCTTATCTGTTCCTCATTTTTTTTATCTTTTAAAAATCGCATCAGATTCATCATCTTAATCTCTTTTCTCGTCATTCTGTGCCGCTCCTTCCTTTTGATTTGATACTGATTATATCCTCTGTCCAATGACACTTTTCTTTGGTTCATCTTGCGGATCACGGTGTTATCTGACTTCCACTCGACTCCTACTCTTCCTCTCCACCATTGCCACCATCCAATTCATCGAAGCTTCCCCATTCAGACATTCTGATTCAACCAGCCAGACTGATTCATCCAACCATCAATCCTTTCAGCACAATTTAAGTACGTCCAGAGACAGAAAAATCATTTACCCTCCTAAACAGAAAAGAGGGAACTTCTTGCAGCCTTGGCCTCTGACTAATTACAATAACAACAACAACCCCTATTTTGATTGTTAGCTCAATATCAAACATGGCTTCCATGAAAGGATACCTTAAACCAAGGTGTTCGAGAAGCATTAACAATCGCCGAGACTGGTGTTCCTTCAGCTGCCACTGGGAGAACGCCCCACTTGGATGGCACAACACTCCGCCTTTAAGTCCATCAGTCCAACAATATATATTCTAATGTGTCCCGACCAGCCAAAACTGGCTCGAGTGATGTCATGCTTCCCTCTAGGCGCCGAGACTTGTCTGTCTCCTTTGACCATGTAAGTCACACTCAGATCTGCTTCTCCTTTCACCTAGACAGCTTTTGGTCTGATCGAGCCATCAATAGCTGTCCAAACGAATTTCAAATTCGACCGAGATTGGAAATTCTGAACTCGAGTAATCTGGAGTCAATATTGAAGACAACGACAACAACGACAAGTCGTGGTCGTCGGTCTCTTCCTCCATCCCATTCTTTGTCTTACATCGATTCTGGGATGTACATGCTGAGTTGATGTGGAATTATCCTGAGGCTCCTGACTGGTGGTATTGGAGTTACTTCATTGTCTTTGCTTAGTTTAGCATGATCATCATCGAAGTCGGTCCTTCTTGTTCATTTCTCAAACTCGAATCTCTAAATCTACGCTTCGATACTTTCTCTGTTCGTCCATGTTTCTCTGTTCCTCTATTCCCTTCATGCTCTACACATGTACATAGAAATCCCCCAAAGAAAAAAAAAATGTAAAAAAACAAAAAAAGAAAACAACAAAAAAATGCAAAGAAAACAACAAAAAAATGGCCTGGTACCCTGGAAACGTGTGTGCTGTGAGCCACTCCAAGTAGCCTCACCAAAAACGAGTTGAAAGCGAGCGAGGTGTGGCCGTTGCAGTGGGCTCGATTGACCTGTCTCCAGGTGGTGTGGCAGATCGGTCGGCAAATTGCCGCTGGTTTGTCGTCAAGATGTGGTCAAATCGACCTGTGGGCTTTCGATTTCCGGCTCGGGTTTGACGGCAATATGTCGACATGGGCGGTGGGACCGACATTTTGCCAGCGGATTGCCTGAGCGCGCGTTAGCGGGGGTGCTGTCAATTGGGTCGTCAATTTGCTGGCTGACCGGAGGCCCGTTTTTTGCCGGTCAAAGCTGGCTGGGCGGGGTCCGTCAAATTGACGGCCGAATTTTCAGCGATTTGCCAGCGGCCCGCAACCGCCGTGTAAGCCTATTTTTTTAGTTATATGTAGATATGTAGATGTACATATCAAGAAGATGCAATAATCTGAAGACTGAGGGTGATCGAGCTTAACATAAGCCTCGCAATCGGAGGGTCCCGAAGGGACCCCGCGTCCGAAGGGACGCTCTCCGAAGGAGAGGCTTACCTCCAAAGCCCCTCCGATGACTCAAGGTAAATGAGATTTCTGCGAAAAAAACGCTTATTTTGCCTTCGAAAATTATTTAAAAATGTACTCTTCAACTTTTCGTAATTCTGAGTAGGCAGAATTGTACTTTATCATCTCAGCTCTCAGACCGATCCTTTTTGTAATTTTTTGCCTTAAAACCATTGTCCCTCCGATGTTTTTAGCTGGTGATGATCTGAATTTTGCCAAGATCCAATTCGGATCCGACTTCATCAGATCGTGGACCCTCTCACGGGTTCCTGTCGGATTCTGCGCAATTGCATAGTATCCGGTTTTCAATAGTGAGTGTTTGTATTGGCAGGCATTAGATCTCTCAGCGTTCAAATGCCTCACCATCGCTTAAGTATAAGAGTATTTTTAGATGATGTGTAATGAAAAAAACTCATGTGACATTATCTCACATACTATGCTTCACCGAATTACACATTCATGACCGGATCTTTTGGTGGAAAATCCGGCTTTGAAAAAGCCGGATTGTTTACAGATAGTTTCCACAGCCCCAACTTTACAGGACAATTCTCAGGAACAGGAACAGATATTGAAGATTTGGAGGATACAATAATTATCCTGTAAGCCTTGCGATTTCAATGGTACCAGAGGCGGGATGGGTACATGAGTGCTAGTGGGTGCTATCGGGGAGGGGGAGCTACTCACAGCCAATTGGCTGGACTCTGTAGGGTGAGACTTGCCACTTTCGATGCAAGTCCCTCCTTCGGAGGTCGCTACGCGACCTCCTCGGAGGGACCTTGTGTTAAGTTCGGAGGGTGATGAACTTGGTCATGAGGAGTGAGACCCAAGTGTCAGATTTGGTCCGGCTGCGGAATGCGCGTCGTTTTTTTTTTTTCGGTTGATGACCTCACTTGGGAGGTTTTTTTTCCAGTCTGCCACTTCCTCAAGAGCTTGATAGTGGTACTGCACTTCTTTTTTCTTTAGATACGGTTGAATAGACAGCGAGGTAAGAATCCTCACTCTCGTCCCATCTCAGGGGGTTTTCTCGTTTCTGCGCTAATATCTGTTGACTTGGTCTCACTGATCAGACCATCTTACCAGCAACCGACCTGGGAACCAGAACCTGGGTTGGTCCCACTTCATTTATACCCAACCATATATCCACTTGAATCATTTCGCGCGAAAACAGATTTACCGCCCCTGACACAGAAGTCCAACCGGCTGTCATCATATCTGTGCGCGTCACGTCTTTCCAGTCGTCTACGGTTTGTCCTCGATTTGGTCGGAGAATGCGTTGAAGAGACAGCTTGGCTTGAATGATCCAAATAGATACAAGCATCAGGATATATATATAAGAAGTGATTGATATAAGTAGATATACACAGTCCAAGAAGAAAAGTACGCATAAATCCCTATCCTGCTCAGATATCAAACCTCGTAACACTAGAATTTTAACACTCCCTCCCTTACTTGTATTCAAATTCAAGACCATTCGAAATGCTCCTAGATAACACGAATTATACCTCTTGGAAAGCTTATATCCAACAGCGACTACAGGAAGAAGGACTTTTAGCTATCACTCTGGGGGATGAGGTCAAACCAGAACCAAACGGAACCAATGGGAAAGAGATAGAAGAATTCAAAAAGAAATCAAGATTGGCGTTTTATCTATTAATCAAATCGATTGATGATTCCGTTATCTTCTCAGTCTCCGCCCTCAATTTTGAGAGTAATCCACGAGAGTTATGGGAGGTGTTGAAGACGAAATATTTTCCAGATGATCTGAGTGAGAAACTCGAGGCGATGAGGAACTTACGATCGATCAAATTCAAAAATAATCCTGAAGAATTTGTGGAACAGATTCGAGCCAGTTTTGCTAGAATCGAAAATGCAGGCTTCCAGTTTGATGAGACCACTTGGATGGTCATGTTCTTGTCTCAACTACCTCGTACTATAACCGATTCGATCATCAATCGGAACGATCAAGAGGAGACTTCTACTCAACCACAACGATCCTCGATCTCCACTTGTGACAAGTTATTCGAGAAACTTAAATCACTATCTATCACGCCATCTAACTTTCCCCAAAACCACAACCCGAATGAGAAGCAGAAAAATGGACCAGCGGCCTCGTCGAATCACTATAATCAATATTCCTGTACGCACTGTAACAAAAAGGGCCACGACATCAATCATTGCTGGTTCGTTCATCCAGAAAGGAACCCGTTTCACAAAAACAATCCCGAGAAAGGCCCGGGCACACCCAAATTTAACAAGGAGATTGGACCGGCTTCAAATGGTTTTTTCAAAAAGGATCACGGAGCGACCTCGGACGGTTGGAGGCTGACTCCTCGACTGAAAAAATTTGACCACGATCATCAATTCAATGGATCTAATCATGGTTCCAATAATAACAACCTCAACAAACCCCAAGCCAACAAACACTTCAATAACAACCACCACAGTCGTACGGCTAGCAATGCCAACAACAGCGGAGGAGGGAGTGAATGGAGTTCGTTTTCCAAAAACCCTTCCAGAGTTTCCTCAGGCGATAATAACGATTGGCGAGCGCCTACCCCGAAGCAATCGACCAGCAACCAATCCGGATGGGACGTCGAGGAGGGTCCCGCTACTCCTCTGACCAACGGAGGATCCGGGTGGAATGATATGGGCCCAAGCCACACCGCTACCGTCAACGAAACCGGTTGGACCGAGAACCACCAAGACTTCTAATCTCTTCCTACCGCTTTCTGGCTCTTGGGGCGATCTGAAAAATTGATAGGAATTCCTCTATCACCCTCTTCTGACACGAAAAAAATGATCATTCCGATGATTCCTTCCTGCTTAATTTTTTGTGTGTTCCATCTCAGCTACTACTACTACTACTACTACTACTACTATTACTAGAGTCCCAAAATCCAACGACTTTTGTGTTATGAAACAAAAAAAAATCAACCCTCAACTGTCCCATTCTCATCCTCGTTTTTGTTTGTTTGTTTACTTCTTCTTCTTCTTAACGACCAGTTGATCAAGAACATCTGTCAGTCCACAGCCTCCCCCAAAAAAAGAACAATCTCTTAAGCCTGTCTACTTCTTTTTTCTCGTTTTATTTACTTTGTTATTAGAAGACAAAGAAAAAAAAAAAAAAAAAAAAAAACAGTATCGTGCATCAATTTGGTGGCTTATGCACCTCTTATAATGAGACTTGATGAGTAGAGTTGGTCTGACAGACTATCGAAAATTGGAATCTGATTCATTGTTATTAATGATCATCAAGAAAACTAGCGAATTTTTATTTATTTATTTTTGTTTTTCCATATTATCTACATATAACTAAAAAAATAGCCTCAGAGGGCCAAACAAACCGTCAGGCTTGAATAGTGCTTTCTATTGATTTCTCATGCGGCTTCTAACGCCGGCGTCAATGTTGCACATTTCAATGTCATTTCCGACATTCGCTAATACTTTACAATCATAGCGACCTTCAAAAGCAAAGGCTATTACACCATAGGAGCTTCAAACCAGTAAAACCCCCAACATCCGGGGCAAAAACAAGCAGCCTCCCCAAATTTGGGGGCATATACTAGTGTATATATAAGCCAAGACAAAAAGAAAAAACAAAAATTGTGGAGCTGGATGATGCTAGAAAACTTGCAAGGCTCCTCTTCTCATGATGGGGGGGGGGGGCAAGACTCCTCCACATTATAGGGGAATTGAAGTATGAGGAAAACTGATGGGTGAAAAAAAAAACAGGGATTAGTGGATTATTATATAAGGTCAGCTTTCTAAGGCGTGAGTGGATGACCTCCTGTTGCAATCTATGACCCTCCCAGAAGTCAATTTACACCCCTTAGATCCATTTTTTTTTTCATCAACAGAGATAAATTTTCTCAAGCCTTCTAGCAAGAGCTGTCATGTGAGCCGGTTGAATTGAAGTTTATAATTGTGTTCTTAATTTAGGAGTGAGAGAGGTCTAGATTAAAGCCATCTAAATCGGGAAGGGAAGTGCCCCGGTGGGAATGCTCCTTGTTGATATACAAAAGAGCAGAAAGATATGTAGGCTTGAGTTAACACATTAAAGCACAATCATTTGTTCTGTTTCATAGCTACATTAGTTAGGTTGTACATCAATATTCAGGGCCAGTCAGTAATCAATGGGATTCAACTTTGCACAACTCCACAGTTTATTCTGCCTTGAATTTCTCCAGCAAATGTGACAATTGAATGGAGACCAATAGATCCAAGAATGAAATCTGAAAGTTCTTGACTTTTGTCCTAACCACTGGCCTCTGGTGATGGTGATCAGGATAAAAGGTCATGTCTCAGATGCCCTTCTTGCGAGATATTGAGATGATGTTAATTTTGACCTTCAACACTCTTGACCCATCTCAGTATTTGAAAAAAAAAACAGCATTCAGTTCCAGGACTCAGGAGGGAGATAGTGGTGGGAATGGAAGCACCTCTTTTTGCTTCTTTCAAATAAGTATATACACACATGTAGGAAATCTTAAACTTGAAAAACAAAAGATCATATGGTGTATTTTTCTGTTATCTCTCTATGTAAATACTTCAGACCAGTACTGTGAGTACAGTAAAACTTGTCTAAAGTAAGGGCATACCTCTGTGTGTGCATGACCTGTACAAGGGCATAAGCAACAGCTTTTCCCAAATATCAATTTTCCTGCAAATTCATTTCCTCTGATCAGGGCATACATAACCTGTTTAAAGGCAAACAAAAATCCTTCTCCCAAGAGGTGTGCCCTTAGACAGGTTTGACTGCATCTTGCCCCATTTCTTTAGCCATGGGGCATGTCCAACTTTTTTTGCCTTGGGATTGCTTGTAGAAGAAGAAAGAGCAGCAATGTGTTGTGGCGCTCTTCATGTTCTAAACATCAACCTCCTTCTGAAAGCTCAAAGAAATAACTAACTAACGTAAGATAAGAATGACTAGATTAAAATACAGGACTCTAGATGACTAAATCTATGAGAGAAGTCAAGACAAGTGTGATCAATGATCATATCGAAAGGCTATAACTTTGAATTTAGGAACACTGGATGATGATGAGGAGGATGATGATGATTATGCTTTATTCGCCGATTCGTTTCCCAGGGAAAGAGCTTGAACCGAAGAAAGAATTAGAAGAGGAATTGTATTCGGTTTCCGTATCTTCTCGTTCGGGCAAGATTCCGAGTTCTTCAACACTTCTCATGATCTGATCCTTCAACAACAATTTCCGATCATCGTCTGCCACATTACTGGAATGTGATAATGAGGAGGAGGAGGAGGAGGAGGAGGAAGGAGTTCTGTTTTGGGAGTTGGTCGATCTCGAGGAGTTTGAGGATGTCAAGGTTTGAGGGTTCTCGAGCGCCGTGAAAATCACTACACATAATGCTAATGAAGCAATCGCAACTGGTGATCGCAAATTCCAATCGAATCAGTTTGGTGCTCTGTTCAGCTCTTCCCTTGTGTAGAGATGGTCTTCAACTTACCAACACATCTTCGAGTTGTCACCCATTTTCTCGTCTCAATTTCGGTTCTTACTTCGCTAACCAAGATCGTAAACTATCAATCAAACCGTAAGAATTAGAAGAGGAATCCAAAAAAAGTAGAGAGCTCTTGGAAGGCTTTCAATTTACTTTACTATTGAGCTCTTGGATCGATAATTCTAATTTTTTCTGGTCATCACTAGCCTCTTCCTTGCGATGATTGAATTCCAGCTGTAGCTCATTCTTCAGCGCGCTGATATCTTCTTTAAGTTTTTGTTTGAGGTTATCGATTTCTCTTTGGACGGAATTGCTAGCCGATTTGAGTACGATTCCATCGTTCCTAGCCTTAACTTGAACCTCAGTCCTCAGTTCACCTAGGGCAGCATTGTAGAGATAAGCCTGTCCTTCGGCGTATGATTTCGAGACGATCCCCCCTGATGGCCCAGTTAATAACCATCGTTTCTCCGAGGATCTGAGACTGCTTTCAACAAATTTCAATATCTCTTTGGCTGATTCTGATCGGAGAGTGGACCGCTCGAGTTGTTTGACGAATCGATGGGTGTGAAAGGCATGGGTGGGCAGGACGGTGTATTCGTTGGGCGAGTTCGAGGATGTTGTTAATGAGGTTGATGGGTTTGATTTAGGTGGTTTAGGTGGTTTAGGTGGTGGTGGTGATGATGATGATGATGAGGAGGAGGGTGTGTTGGCTTGGCTGTTATCCTGTTGGACTATTGATTTTCAGAGGATCGAGAAGGTCAGTATTTGGTTTGTGTTATGAAAGTTTGATCTTTGCTGGTTTGATTAATCTAACCTAGAGGAGGACTGAGACCAACCAAGGGTTCCTGAAAGGAGGAGACCAACTCTGGGGATGACTTGGGATTGGATTCTGATGATGGTGGTAAGAGGATTGATTGTGATGGTAGTGGTTGGTTCTTGTCAGGTGCTGTTGGTCTGAGGTTAGCGATTTTTGAATTCCTTCTGATTCTGATCCTAGCCGATGATAATAGTGGGCTGATAGTCGGCCGTAGTTCGGTGGCAGTTGCAGTTGTTGTTGTTGGTAGTTGGATTGCTCGGAGGATTAGTCGAGTGTTCATCCTGAAGTGGTTTGTCTCAGAAGTTTGCCACTCCAGCTTCAAGCTGATCACTCCCTCATCATCATCACCCCCCGAACTGACCGACATCGTCATCGAGGGAGATCACTCCCCGGGGCGGAGTGGATTCACCCGAACTCAAGCAGTCAGCTCAAACATTCCGATTTTTGGACAAAAGGTGAGCTTCCAAAACTGGCACAGACTCAGAGAAAAAATACCAAATGATGCCCAAAATATTTTCCTGGTGTGCCCCCTTTCACTACTTGGGTGCAAGTCCTTCCTACTGAAAAGACCCCATGCTGTTCTAGACTGTGAAGTGATGGTCAATAATCCCCATTTTAAACCAGATTTGGATGCATCTTAAATTATTTTCTGGGTACCAGTTTGTCTACCCTTGAGAGACTGTTAAAAGGAAAGATTCATTCTATTTTTATAACGTAAGGAAAGAGTGTTCTATTTACAAATATGGAGGAATAAAAGAACGAGAAAGTACCATAAAATGGTGGGACTGATCAAGTAAGCCATGTTAGGTCATCAAGATCCCAGTTGGAAGCTTGATCTAAGCAGTCATTTAAACAGTCACTTTAACCTGGCTGTCCAGAGTCACACCAGGCATTCACATGACAGGTTGAGGAGTGAATGTCATGATCCATACTCATGAGATCCTCCCTAGAGGAATTGGGCTTGGTCAGGCGTGCACCACCCCTGATTTTTCAAAATTCAGGGACACTGGTGAAAACCCTGAAGTAATTACAATGCACTACCATGAGCACCACTAGAGTTATAAACAATCCAAGACTGAGCAAGAATAAGATGAAACAAGATTGATAACACTTTTATAAGCACCCTATACCAAAAAAGTATCCATATTTGCATAAGTAGTGGGTAGTACAAATACCATAGTGTGGTTCACAATTGAATTTTTGGCTTCTGACTTTGCTTGAAATTGTTTCTGTTTACTAGTTTTGGCTTGAATTAAATAAGTGAGCTTCTCTTGACTTTCTGAATGCAACAAATTACCATGACAGTTACTGCATCAGTTAGCTGAGCTGCTTACTTGACACAGAAACTCTCCTTCCAAGATTCTTCATTGATCCCAAACTAACTCCATCCCCCAAAAATCAGGGCGTCTCCCTGGTACAGTAGAATACTGATGGAAAAAGGGAATGCCAGTTTATCAGACCAAGTGATTCACAGATGCTCAAGGTAGATTTACCATGCTAATCATAAGGTTTAGTCTTGCAAGAGTCTCATAGATTGTACCAGTTCAAACACTGTGACATTGATTTGGCAAAGGCAATAACAACGGTGGGCCAGCTACGCTAACCGTAGCGTTAGCGTAGCGTAGTGTAGCGAAAAATCGCTACAATGTAGCGTAGCGTTAGCGCGTTTTTCAATTTCTGCACTAACGCTACGCGCATGGGGGAAAAATTTGCGCTAACGTTTAGCGTAGCGTTAGCGCAATTCCCCCCATGTGCGCTAACGCTACGCGCACAGGGCGCAAAAAACCGCCCGCTACGCTGCGCTACAGCCATTTTTAGCGGTTTTTAGGCGTTTTTTGCCGCTAAAAACGCTGTAGCGTAGCGGCGCCAGCGGTGCGCTAACACTACACCAAAATTTGGCTAGTGTTAGCGCCGCTACAATTTAGCGTAGCGCAGCGGCAGTAGCGGCGCGCTAACACTACACAAAAAAAAAGAAAAATGGCGCCGCTACGCTAACGCTACATGGGCCTGTAGCGTAGTGTAGCGTAGCGGCCCACCGCTGGCAATAATGATGAGCAAGTTGCATGATCTGTAGTCTCAATCGGTCTTGATGTCACATCTCTCTAAAAGAGCACACCTGTAAAGCAGTGTAGTCGCGCTTTGGATTAACATCATTGATCTTACTGTATGCTTATCAAGTATGATTTACAGGCACAGACTGCTCAAGTGTGTGGGTAAGAGCCTCTGGTGTACTTCCGGTGGAGAATCAGTCCTACTGTTTTTTTTTGTCCAGACTGACTGCTTGCTTCATGAATGAGTGCTGTACTAAACCCTCAGCCGAAAGAATAGAGACGTTGAGGGAACACCAAAGCAGATGAATATTAGTCTATGTATTCATGAGCAATGAGTTCAAACGATCTCAGAAAAACAGGCCAACCGCGACAGGTATATGCACTCAGTAACAGGTCCCGCATACTTAAGAAGCTACCATTTCTGTTGATTTTGGATTCCTTAGATTAAATTTGAAAATTTGCAAAGCACTTTGAAAGAGTTCTTCTTGTTCAAGTTTTCTAGATCCAAATCAACCAACTCTCCACTTTCAACAATATGAAATTTCCAATTTTACTTTTCCTGGTCAGTTCTTTCCTTGATGCACATTGCAAACCTGAATGGTTGGTTCAGGACTGACATTGAAGCTTTCCTAAACAGCTTATTGGCCAATACAGCACAATGGATATGAATGACTTGACCAGGGTTGGATCAGAAAACAAAATCGTCTCTGCCCCCTTGGAACACGCAATTGATGAAGCAGCCCTATACCCAAAAGAAATCCAACAATCTGATGAGCCATCATCACCTGTATTTGTTTACAATGATCAGGGCCATCAAGTGAGTTTTACTAAAAAAATCCAGCAAACATAACCCAAATCATTGTATTGATAAACTTCAACTATAAATTTGTTGGTTTAGGGGGAAATCTCCAAAGTAGAACATGTTATTGATGTTCCTACAAGACCAGGCAAAATTGATAACCATAAGCTTGACAGACAATCTGTCTCCGACAATCCAAATCAAGCTGAAATGAAAGAAGCAGCTGGGATCACCCAGACCGAGTGTACTAACTTGGAAATTGAAAAAGCAGTTGAAGATCGAGGAGCATTGGAATGGAAAAAAGAATGCAAGGGTTGCTGTTTGGTCACATCTATAGTTGCAATGGTTGTGGGTGCAGGGATTGTAATGCCCTTGTTATTATTGCACATGGACCCATAAACATCAATTTGTAAATTCTATGGGAAGCATTTGGGACACTTCTGAAACGATACCACTAATTTTGGGTGAGAGTGATTGATGATTCAAGCACATCTCAAGAGAAAAATAAAAGAAGCCCAAGTGATCTTATCTTCCATCCTTTGTTTCCACACAACTAAATCCTACTTGAAATTGCCTCAAACCCCACTCAATCATTCTTATGTCAAAATTCTTGATTTGTCTTACTTCTGTATCTACCAACTTTTTAAATTCCTAAATTTTCAATTGTCTGGTGAGATCATGAATATCATGCTTTTCCTTCTTGGTTTAATCTGAGCATTCCATCATTCACAATTTTTTTCCTCTCAGAAATATTTTCCAGTCTCAGCCTCCCTTATATTTGCATTTTCAACATGCACATTTGATCAAGAATCAATGTAGTTTTGATGCAAAAAAAGCTTTGTGATATGTTTGATTCTCTAAACTATATATCTTCTACTCTCTTCTATCCTTTATTCAAATAAGTTTGTTCTTGAACCAGATTTAAATTCAATCTGGTTCATTTTAGTCTGTGAAACAACTTCTTGATCAAGTTATATTTAACCCGTTATTTAAGATTGATAGTCTGAGTCTCATCCAAATAAGTGGGAAAGTATCATGATGAGATCAGCATGATTTGAAGGACTAGTATCTCTGATCTGCTGGACCATTCAAAATTTAGAATGAAAAAAAAAAAATCACAGATGATTGATTTTCATTCACAGAGGAAAAAAAAAAAACAGTCTGATCTTTTGCCCACAAATACAATTTTCACACTTTCCAGGGATGTCTCCTTTCAACAAAACACACACACACAAATAGTTCTAAACCAGATCAGTAGGTGGCAAAGTGTGAGATAATCATTTTCAAGTATTGGTAGACAGTAACTGAGGCAAAGTGTGAGATCATCTTTTTCAAGTATTGGTGGACAGTAACTGGGCTAAATTTCTAGACACAGACCCTGAATAATGTTGTTGAGAGGTGCAATATGGTCTTGCGCAAGCACATCTGGGCACAATGCAAAGCCCCACTTGACGAAATGCCATCAGGAGGCTTGATCAAGTGAGTTTGTCCAGAGGGGTCCTGCCCTCCAGTTGAAAAAATTAGTTCACACTCCAAAATAGCAGTTTTAATTGAATCTCAACAGCAACAACAAAAAAACTATGTTGGTACTGCCCCACCATAAGAAGAAGAAAGAGGAGAGCAAAAACAAATGAAACTTCTGAAAGAGGCTTGAACCATCTTCTGATTATATGAATTCATGTACTATAATCTCCATGTACTACAATCTCAACTACAGCTATCATGGTCTGAACAAGATATACTTTGCTTTTCTGGATTTCTTTACATGCCGGGTGTTTCTGGCATGAAGCTGTGCAGCTGAGCCTCCCGAAGTGGTATTGGCGGGATCACGGTGGTTCTGTGATGATGGCCACACCCTTCACGGATCATTTGCTTAGTTTCAGGATCCCTCCACGATCGGACATTGAGCTTGACTTCCATTCGACAAATTCGCCTGGTACATTCATAATGTCTCTTGGTACGCTCTTCCTGGCAGGGGACACCGTCTTCTACATACCCGCAGACACCTGTAGAGAACTTCGGTGGAATAATTGGGTGGAGACTTGCGCGTTGGCAGTGGTCACAGTCGAGAGCGCAGTTGACGATGAAGATTCCCGCAGGGACGAAAGCCAGCGCAAGGATCGTCAACAGTTTCATCTTCGGGCGCTGTAAATCGAGACCGAGAATTGACTGGGATTAGAGTCGAACTTGTGTTGACTGGCTGAAACGTGGTGGCCGAGGAGTGTTATATGTATAGCGGAGGGTCTTCGCTGACCGTTGTCCTACTTGAGGATACTGATTCGTCTGACTTGTCTCGATAGATTGCTGCGTGTCCAATGGCCAGCCGAGGGTTCAGGTACTAGAAGTTAGAACATGTTGCAGTTTTACGTTGTGCTTTAATCGATCGAATCCATCTTCATCATTTCTCAATGACCATCATGCCAGATAAACATCAGGGACAAGATTTGAAATTGAACGATGACGACAAAAAGACAAGAAAAACGTGGCAGACTTCAGTCCGGCTTCTGGAAACATGGTCGGGGCGGATAAATATTTTGTTTCCAGCACACAAGAGCGTCCCTTCAAGTTCGTTAACGAGACTTCCTCGGAGGGACATCGTGTTTGTTAACTACGGTAAATATGTTCCGCGCCGCTCAATCCGATAGTCAGCCAGCCGCATACAAGCCACCTGGACTTGGTGTTGCCCAATCTATACTCTTTAATTGTAGGACTTCCTCTTGATCATGCCATCGAGGATCTTTTCCGTCAACTTCCACCACCCTCATCCCTCGCAAAGTGACTCTGCCTTCGTCCTTCCCATCCGTCGGAAGCCGGTCGTCAGGAGTGAGGTATTGATTAACACACCGGGTCGGGTCATGCGCACCGGAGACCGATCACATCACATGGCACCACCGTGCCTGGCTATACCAGGCCCTCCGATCGAGGGGCTTGGGTTGAGTTAGCATAGAAAGATCATCCCAATTGAAACACGGTTGCAAACAAAAAAAAAGGTCTGAAAAAGTTGAACCTGAAGACAGACTGGAGTAAACTCGCCTGCAATTATCAAGGAGGGAATTTTATGAAAGACAGATGGACTCGGCGGGAAAGAAAATATTGATAAGCTATATAAGGTGAAGCACTGAAGTGTGTGCATGCCTCATTATTGTCACAGAGCCGACAATTATGTAGAAGAGTCAACTAAAACGTGTTGTATCCATGATAGATGCAGAAGACTTCTGTTTGAACAGTCCAGAAGATTTATCATGACAAAGCATGAAACTTATAATAAAATTTCAAGTGCCACAACGGGCAAGCACCTTCCGGAATACTAATGAAAGGGTATTTTGACTGCCTTGTTTTGATCTGACACGACATTTTAGACAGACAACGAAAATATCTAGAGGATTGTGATCCATTTTTATTATCAAAGAATTGATACCCCCGATGACCAACCTGTTGGCGACCATCAAGTTATTTAATTTCCTACTTGCTAGGACATGTGTAAGTCTTTTATCATTCAAGTCAAGGAATAGATGTTTGCATTGAAACTAACAAAGAGTCATTCGTGTACATTAGCTCGCAGGCCGACAAGACGTTGTTGCGATGGAGGTCCTACAGGAACCAGCAGCTCAGTTGGAGTTTGGAGGAGAACATCGTATGGCTGAAATGACTGAGTTGTCATCGGCCCCAGGACGCCATCGAACGATCAGTGACGGCGAACAATCAGCTACCATGGGATCTCACATCTGTGCCTCATCAGACCCAAGAGACACAGCCCGGTCTTGTCACGAAAATTTCGCTTTCCACTCGAACTGTCAAGTCAATCAAGCAAGTGTCTTGTATTTTAGTTCCCCAAAATCTGCAATTTGCTTCAATTTCTCAATTATTTCTGAAACCTGACGACTATCCATGTTTTTTTTTTTTTGCAGCCAGGGGATGCCGAACTGGAGAGCACTATGATACATGATAGCCAAGAAACAGACCACAGAGGAACTTTGAACAGGGCCTTGATTTCACAAGACACTTTTCACCCTCATGACAACATACCCAATAGCGAAGTTTGTTCTGAGGATCCACCTTCCCAAACTGATCAAAATATCTCAACAGAGAATTCACAAGAGAAGGGAAGGCTAATTATGAACGAATACAAACCAGCAGGATGTTCGATTTGCTTTGAAGAAATACACTCGGGTCCTGATGATCCAGACAACCCAATCTTTAGTTGGACGAGATGCAACCACAGTTTTCACCTAGAATGTATCGGTAAATGGTGGGAATTATTCCGTTACTCCTGTCCGATATGTCGACGTACGATTTCTGGAAGGGAGCAGGAAGAGGAGCAAGAAGTGATCGCGCCCATGATCCCGACGTTTGCCTGTAGCTTACACTGCTTCCTCGATCAGACAACTGGCGGCTTTTCACCCGTCATCATTGGCGCCTGGGCTTTGTTCTTTTGCTGCTTCGCCATGCTTATAAAGACACTCGCGGATGACGTCCACTTCCATCGTCCTCATCAAGCTTAATACAACATCCCCCAGATCGATATCATTGAAAACCAAAGTCAGTCAGTGTCTCTTGAGGGCTCAGAGATACATATCTTCCACAAGTTTTTAGTTTTTCTTGCTTTCAAAAACTTATTTAAATAGTTGAAAAACATGACAAGAAAATTTTCAAAACTTGGTGTCAATTTTCCAATCTCATTAAGGGAATAGATTTGACACCAATTGAATTTATGGTGTACGGAAGTTGATATCAATAAAATTAAGGGCTGCAGAGATAGGAAAAGAAGTATCCCATTTTTAAAAAATCTGCTGCTATGATTGGTACAGGCCCTCAAGGTTTCAGTAAATTTCTTTTTCAAGGACCAAGGAGGAGAAGGCCTTCTTAATCTTATCCCCCCTCCCCCCCCAAAAAAAAAAAGTGGTGAAGGCAATATATGTTGACTGACTGCACAGTGGGCAGACAGCGCAAAGTGCCACTTTTTTTTTTTTTTTTTTTTTTTTTTGGAGAGGACAGAGGTCCTGAAAAAGCCTGTGTGCTCTATCAAGATCAAAAGACAAAATCACATATATTTTTTCTATCTATTATGAGCATGAACCGCTGCAAGAAAAAAGTGATGTCAACTGTGCACAGTTGACATGTTATTGTAAAATATTGGAAAGGTGGATTTGTGAAATCATGTGTCATGAACAGCACACACTAGAGTTGTCTGGCTTTTTTCTTGCAGTGAACGACTGAGAAAGACACAGATACTCGATTATGTAGAGATTGAGGGCCAGTATACCATAGGGCACAAAGAAAAACAAAAAAATGCAAGTTTTCAGAATTGATCTTTGGACTCAAATCCTCACTCATTTCATCAAAATCAAACATCATCACCAGAAGCCAGTCATTTGCATAAAAGTGAAGACTCCCGATTTTTAGATCTCTCCACTTTGTTTCAATTTCTTTTGGGCAGAAGGCAGAAAGAATGCCCATTTTTCAAAATTGAATCCGGTTGTACTGGCCCTGAATCTTTGTTGATATTTGAAGAAAGCTGATAAGATATGTCATCTAGTCAAGAATCTGTCGGAAAAACTGGTTTCTTAATTAGCCCCCAGAAACAGAGTCCTGAGTCCAAGATCCCCTCCTGCTTATTCCACACCCCTCCCAGCAGTCACAATATACATATGGTCTTGTTAATGGAAAATATTAAAGTATACATTTCTTATATAAGTAGTCGTGATATAAGAAATATATGAGACAAAAACTAGGAGAAAATTGTGATCCACCCTTAAAGCAAACAAAAGGGCACAATGAAGAAGGACAGATTCTTATACGTGATACACAACAGTGGTTGCAAGTAGTACAGGCTGCAGGACAAGATTAGATCATTAATATCTTGGTCAATAGTTGACAAAAAAAAGGAAATGTCTGAGTGATGACCTACGAGGGTGGAATGACCAGGATGCGGAAAAGTAATTGGCAAGTAGTCGGTAAGAAGGGAAGCACTTGGTCAGGTTGGCGAAATGGTTGATAAGAAGCGGATGTGCTGAGGGACATTGAGAGCAAGACGATAGGAGAAATGAGTCTTGTGACGAGAGAATGATAAGTAAGGAAAAAGATGTCATCAGGCGGAGGAACAGGAAGGTGGAATGAGATGATAATGATGTGGTTGTAAGTGACAGCCACTTGAGTTCCCCAAGCCAGGAGAGACTACTGTGTAGAAGAGAGTGAGGACAAGCTAGGACTGCAATATGCACAGTCATCAAGGTGTTTGGACAGTGAGAAGAATGATGATGTCATAGGCTTGAGCAAGTATGAGTTATGTGAGTATGGAGGGGTAAGATTATGAGCATGCCTGGTGCTCAGATTTCAACAGGTCTTGCAAGCCTGTCTGGGCACAATTTCAAGTCCCGCATGGCCGAGTGCCACCAGGGGTTTGGATTGTGCTCAGAGGGCTTGATTGGACAGGATAGTCGGGGGGGGGGGCAGGACTTGGCCATGTGCCAAGTCCCGCTGGGCCAATTACATAGTAGCTCAAGGTGCCCCTGTGCACAAGTCTGGTATGTATTGGGCCCCAACTCAGCAGCTGGCCTTCCCGGTGGCCAACATGTTGGCGGGCATGGCACCCTTGCTTGATATCAGCCAACCAAGGCTTTGTCCCAACCCCCGCCAACTTGAGCATGTGCTAAGCGGGGGTTGGGATGGTGCCATGCACGCTTTAGGATCAGCCGAGCGGGCTTTGGGAGCAGCCCAGTGCACGTGCAGACCTTTTTTTTTTTGGCCAAACTTTGGTGTGTGCCCAGACAGACTTGCAATATCATACATCCCTCAACATCCAACCAAATCTTGTTGGTAAAAAACAAAAAAAGAAAAAGAAACTAACTAGCTTATAAATTTTCAGCGGTCTTGTATGACCAATTAATGGCTGGCATGAGAGAAGGTTATTATGGAGGACTTACATCTGTTTGGATTAGCAGCTGTCTTAATTCTTCTTGCCCTGTAAATTCTACGTCTCTTCATGTAGGAAAGGTAATCATGATGGAAATGGCGTTCATGGGCACTGCAGTCATCGCAGTGACCGTAAAGTGTCTTGATTTAGAATTTGATTTACATTTGTGTTACGTATGTATAATGTACTGTACATAATCATCATCATTGATTACAATGAATCTAAAATGACCCACAAATCAAAAAACAACTAACTACGATCATCATCATCATCAATAATACAACAACAACAAGGAGGAGGAAGAGAAAAGATACAAGTAATGAAGAGAAGGAGATGAGAGGCAAAGACATACAAAACCACTCTGTTTTTTTTTCAGAAAAAAGGGAGAGAGAGGGGAGGACCAAGGATTTTGTTTTTTTTGTTCCGACAAATAATAAACGAAAAAAATAGGACCAGACGAAACACGGCCACACAAATCGAGAAAAAGAAAAAAGAGACAGTTCCTAGGATATACAACACTTCAGAAAAAAAAGAAAGGAAGAAGGAAGGAAGGGGAGGGGAGGGGAGGATATAAAAAAGAGGGGGGAAGAAGAAGAAGAAGAAAATCAAAACTGGTCGAACGAGGTAGATAAGTCGGCGACAGAAGCCGGATCGGACTTAGATTGTTGAGAGAGGATGTCCCACGAAGACGAGGACGAGTCCGACAAGTCAGACGAGAGATGATGCTCATCATCGGCAAGGGCCGAAGAGGTTTGCTTTCCCTTGGGTTGGTCAGACGGATTGATCTGGCCAACCTTCTGAGGGTCTTGCCCGACAGGAGGGGCATCCTCGTGTTGAACGGGATGAGAGAGTGGAGCAGGTTTAGGGACGATAGTCGTGTCGCTCTTCTGGGCCATGAGGGTGTGTTGGTTAGATTGATCAACGGCCTGCGGTCGGTTTCCTTCGTCTTCTTTTTGGTTCTTTGGGTCTTTCCGCTTCAGTGAAGAATGAGAAGAAGAAGGAGGAGGAGGGGGAGAAGGGGGACGGACGGAGGATATCATCTCAGAGCTGGGAGGAGGGTGAGGACAATCGAAGAAGTCGTCGGAGGAGTGTTGACTAGGAGGCAGGTCTTGTTGAGGGGGGCGGTGGTCAGTGGAGACGGAGGAATGGGCGGACATGAGTAACAGACTGGACTCGTTGGCTTCCTGGCCCGAGTCTTCCGCCTCTTCCTGGTCTGGCCGTCGGATAGTCCTCACCTCCGAGTCTCCACCAGCATGTTCGGATGTTTCTTTCTTCCCTCCTTCGGCCGCAGACGTCTCAGCTTGTTCTAGGTTCGTCGAGGATGAAGGACCTGGGGCTGTGCTCAAATGCTCGTTGAGTGAGTTTGTCTGGCTCTCGTTTTCTGTCATAGGAACATCCAACTACCCGTCAGTATCTTCATCATACACTACCAGAAGATGAGAGAAAACAAAACACTTACGGGCAGGAGCATTAGCAGTCGCGGGGGCGGTCTCGGGGAGTTGAGTAGGCCTTCGCTTGATCAGCGACCGGGCGTAATCGAGATCGCGATAGATGCACTCGACGGCCTTAGCAGCGCCATTCTCGGCACGGATCAGTTCACCTACGATCCGAGCGCGAGAGATTTGAGTAGCATCTGAGGTAGCCAGGGTGAGAGCGTTAGAGAGGTTTTTGACGGTGAGTTTGCGAAGGCCGGCGCCGATGCCAAGGCTTTCGACGCGCTCGGCCCAGAAGAACTGGTCCCCAAAGAACGGCTTGATGATCGTTGGGATCCCTGCACGTAGACTGGCTCCCGTCGTTCCAGATCCCCCATGATGACAGACCGCATCGATCCGTGGGAATAGCCAGTCGTGTGGAATCGAGTTGATGTGGTATATCATCGACTGATCTTCTGCCTCCGCCCCCTCTTCTTCTGAAGTACCCGCTCGCTTGGCCTTCTTCCCTCCCGAACCACTCAATCTCTCCGACCATCCTTTAGAAACTATCGCATACACTCCCGCCGATTTCACCGATTCAATGATCACTTTGGTCATTGCTTCTGGGTCAGGAACGACAATCTATTTTTAAGCCAACGAATTTCAATCAGTTCATTGATTCTCATACAGTTTTCAAAAAGCAAATGAATAAATACTTACAGATCCGAATCCAATGTAGACTACCTTCTTGTTTTGAGTGTGGGCGCGATCCAAGAAAGCGGTTAAATCTTGCGGAGGATTCCAGGAAGTTTTCTGCGGAGAGGGTTTAATGACAGGAGGAGAGGAAGTCAAGTTGTCGATGAGAGAATCACTGAGGGCGTCGGATTTGGCAAGAGCTTGTTGAGAAGTTTTGTTCGGGTCGTCTTCATCGATAAACCAATAGCCAGTAACATGGATCCATTCGTACCAATCCAGGGGCGCGGGAACAATGCTCGGACTGAAGTTGTAGAGGAATGGGACCTTGTGTACCTCCAACTTCTCGTAGGTCGTCGACTTTAAGCCTAGCTTCTCTTCCTCCACTTGTTCACCTGACCGGACATCGCTTTCCAAAACACTTGATCAAACACCGTATACCTGTTGACAAAGTTCAAGTTAATATATTGGAGGAAAGGAACAGGGTAAGAAAGACACATACGTCATGTAGTTGTATCCGCTTCCCATCTTTCTGTCAGGCACGGCAAAGGCGTGAGGGTATTCCTTAGTGCGAGTCCAAGGCATGGTGAAAGCTCTGAAGTAAGGGATCTGAAGAGCTTCGGCGATGTGGATGCCAGCCATGGTGGATGGGGACTCGATGAGGAGGTCAGTCCCTCGGCAGGCCTCGAAGGAGGAGACGAGGAGCTCGTCGAGCCAACCGCGGAACTTGGAGAAAGCTTCCTTGAGGAACCCGAGCGTGAACATCCCGTTGTCCACACAGATCTTCATCAGCTCTGCCGGGTCGCCTCCGATTTCCACATACTCGATCCCATAGCCTTCCACCCATTTCCGGTACTCCCCATGTGATGCGATCCGACACCGATGTCCGTCCAACTGCAGTTTTTGGCACAGCGCTATGTACGGCTGAACGTCTCCACGTGAGCCAATCGTCAGACAGGTGATGTGAAGCTTCGACTTGGGCTTGAAGGTCAAAAACGATGAGCTTGATGACTCGAACATGATCGGCAATGATGCGCCATCTTCTTCCTCTTCTTCCTCTTGATGGTTATCAGCTTGAAGCCCATCATCGGCCTTGTGCTTGTGCTCTCAATCATCCGGGTGATCTCGTCATGGACGGCTTTGATCTGCTCGGCGCTAGCAAATTCAAAGCACACTTCTCCCTGGTCGGCTAAAACGTCGGTCTTCTGAGTGGTGAGGTAGAGCCTGAGGGCTTCGGCTCGGACGGCGGTGAGGGCCTCGACGGGTAAGATCATTTTAACCGGCGCACTGCTTATCCATTTCTGCCCCTTGAAACACACACAGCTCTTGCGAGCGGTCTTCTGTTTGAGGGATTGGGCTGGGACCGGGCTGGCGAGGTAGACCTGACCATACATCGACGAGCCGCTCCTGAGGAGGTTGCACTTGGTCTTGAGTAACAAGCGAATCGGACCTTCTGGGTTAGTCGAATTCGAGACCACGCCTGTGGTCAGGAAGTTGAATTCGGTCTGGAACTTTATCTGATCTCTCTGTGTCAGTTGAGCTCCTCGATCTAAGCGGCTGGTGCCCTCCTCATCCGATAGTTTCTCGGCACTGGGCGATCGGCTCGGTAGCTCCTTCTTGTTGACGGTCGAGGTAGACGAGGAAGGGTCTTGAGCGGAGGTCATTAAACCCTTGGCCGAGTTGATCACATCTTTGGCAGGCTTGATGGGATTCAGCGTGGTGGGCACATTCTTGAGCCAACCAGGGAGCAGGGTCCAGGACTTGTTTGGGTCAGCCGAAGGGGATTCATGAGGATTCAGGCGGGGTGAATTCAATGCGGAGACTGGAGTGCTCGAATCCGATCTTTCTCGTGGGCTGTATGTGGAATAATGAGAACGACGATCCTTGGGAGGGTAAGTATGGGATTGGGCGAGTGGATTCTTGCCGGTACTTGAGCGATTCAGTTTATCTAGCTGGGGGGAACCGAAGGATTGACTTGGGAGTTGCTCCTGTGGAGGGCTTTCAGAAGTTGACGGCGAGGCAGACGACATTGGGAGAGACTTAGGGTCCTGGGTACTTGAGCAGGTAGGCGAATCGATAGGACGAGGACCAAGACCAATGGGGTTGGCAGAAGTGGGTGTGCGTACCTTGACAGTATTGTTGAAAGCTGGTCTGATGGGACTGCCGACAAACTTGTTACCCGAACTGGCGATTTTGCTAATCTTGTCGGTGAATTTGAAGCTGGTCTTGCGTTCCTCAGAGGCAAGGTTTGACGGAGCATCAGATGAGATCGGGGTTTGACTTCCAGAACGAGATACGAGACCGAGAGCCGAAGTGGCAAAGTAATCGTCCCCAAGTCTTGGTAGCGGGGTACTGGGAACCCTGAACCGAGTAGAATCCCTGATGGGACTGAGGGTGCGTGATCGGGAGGGGGCATCAGCGGAGGTGGTAAGAGAAGATTCAGGGGGTGGTTGATCAGAGATGGTGGTAGGAAGAGCTGAGGACGAGGAAGCTTCAACGCGCTCGAGGGCAGCCCTGAGTAGCTCGTAAGGGGTTTGTGAGTCTTGTAGGAAACCAAAGAAGTAATCGACGAGTGAGCTATCGCCGATCTCCTCTGGAACGACTTGAGGTGATCTGATTCGGTTTGGGGCGAAGGGTAATGCGGGGGCATTCTCCTTGATCTTGATGCAGACGGTCTGAGCAAATTGGATCGAGTCACACTTTTCGATGCTGGCGATCGAGCTGAGAGGGATGGCGATCTTGACATTCTGGCCGTTGTGCTGGCAGGCAAAGATAGTCTGTTGGAGTGATTTGACCCATTCATCCTTGGATTGTTGTGTATCGCTGAAGAAGGTGTAGACCTTGCCAGAGACGAAGAGTTTGAATTGGTTGGGATGTTTTGAGTTGGCTGGTGCTGGTTCGACCTTGGTACAGAAGTGCAAGTCGATCTGACCGGTAGGGAAGTAGATTTCATGGCTGGATGGGTACCAGGATAGGATAGTATTCTTGAGGATGAACCAACTCTTGACGGTTTGACGTTGGTTGAGTTTACGAGAGTGGCGGCGGGTGAGGATACCGGCTTTGATGGATTCACCCTCCTCATCGACTTCCCTTTCGTTGCTCTTGAGGAAGGCGTAGAAGCAGACGTGAGCGGTGGTCAGATAGACGTAGCCCTTGAGGAGGAGCGAACGGAAGAGCCAGGAAGGATATTCGGCCAGGAGTTTCTCGTCAGAGGGGAGCTGGAAGACCTGTTGGAGTTTCCTGGATAAGATCTGGCTGCGCTTGGCGGCGAGGTTGTGATCGTGCTGGTGACGTCGGTTGTGGGAGGAGCGCGACTTTGGGGATTGGGTACGGAGGCAGAGGGTGTTTGACATGTTTGATAGGGTGGAAGGAGACTGATTGAAGGAGGGTGAGCTGGGGGTGAGATCTGGTAGACTGGTGGATAGCTGATGAGGTTGGTTGGGGGTATCGGTTGGAGTGGGATGTGAGTTGTTGATATATGAGGTTGCTGAGTGAGGGTCTGAAGGGGCTGGAGAAGATGTAGGGGTTGATGAGACATATGGCGGGTGTTGGTAGTCCGGGGAGGTAGAGGATGCCAAGCAAAGGGGATCAAGTCAGTACAGGCATGGCAAGAGAGACAGATGGTGGGATTCAGGGGAAGCTCACGGGGAGTGCTGGTATGGTATTCGCTGTCAGACTCGGTAGGCTCTTCGGTAGAGTGAGGATGGGTTGGGTTATCGGTCTCGGAATGGGCATGTTTGGAAGGGTGTTGGTTAGGCTGCTGATCGAGGAAGAGGGAGCGATGGATGGCGAAGATGGAGGATGCCTTGGTGGGGATTGAGTTGGTATCTGTATGTTTTTCAAGAGGGTGTTAGCTTGGCAGTGAGTTGATATTATGAGAATGGAGACTGACTGAATGTGTGTTCTTCTTGCTGATGATGGTCTTGAGTTGAGCCCACTTGAGCTCGTAGTGAGGACTGTGAAGAGGAAGAGGAAAGCATGACTGGGTTTTTGTGTGTGCTTTTTGTTTCAGCAAGTTTCGAACAGAAGAAGAAGAAAGAAGAAAGAAGGAAGAAAGAATGGTAGGAAGACTGCTGACCGAAGCCCCCGTTAAATAATAAGCTGGAGCAACCCCACAACACCAATGACATCATACTATCTCAACCAACAAAACCCCCAATCCGTCCCAGAAGGTCCCTAATCCAAACCGAATATCTTGCGAAAACAAGCTCAACTCGAGCTCAAAAGGTATGATTGGAGTAAGAGCACAATATAAGTAAGTAAGTCGATAATGAACTTCTTACCAATCATTTACATAGAAGCTCCGACTGAATCCAGATCACACTGCCATCTTCCAATCATGTAGGAACCCAGAACATTCATCAATGACATCAATCATCCTGGAAATCATCCACCTTGGTTGTGATCCACCCTCACTCGACCGACAAGGAAAATATCCAGGGTCATCATCATTGAAGTCTGGCGAGGGTTGCGGTTGAATGTCTTCTTGATGACTGCTATCACGCTAAAAGTGGTGTTTGATTTTTGAAGGAGCACCACAGATTCGACCATGTGCTGGTCTTGAGCCTTGAACATCAATCGCAGATTCCGAACCAGTATCGGCCATTCACAAAACCCCTCAAAACTGCTCCGAGCAGCAACCGGACGCAGTCTTTGGCCTGCTCATGTTCGATGTTTGTGTGGGCACCTCTTGGGCAAGTTCCAGCGAGGATACATAAATTCAATCCATCCAACAAGTTACACATACTGAACTCACTCGACAAGTTTAGAAGTCTCTTTCTTCAGCTTGCATTTCTTTCTTTGTCAAGATGATACATACTCCTTATTTTGATAAAATAAATCCATCAGAGCCCAGATTCCATCCAGATGATCCAAAAGAAGAATCCATCTTTCTTTGGGATTGGCTTCCTCCTGCTGGCCTGTCTACCCCAGGGAAGCAGCATCTTTGCTCACCCACTTGAAGAAATCTTCCAGGGCCACGACGTTTTACAGGCCGGGCAAGATAATCCTCATGGACTACTCACCAATCACTTATCAACAGAACCGAGGGATTCGCAGCAAGTTCCCTCCTCGATTGAGCCTCAAAGATCGGAACAAGACCCCTCCATCCAGAAGCAGCTCATCGTCGACAATGAATGGCTTAATCAATCGGGCTTTCGTCACTCTCATCCTGGCCTCCCTGCAGGAAACCTGCCTGATATAATCGAAGCCCCAGTCTCAGATCAAGAACCGAACGGTTTGCACAATCAGCACTCGGCTGGCATGATCAGCTCTGCAATCTCATCTCCCTCAAACCATCAGATTCGTGTAGAAGATTATCTCGAACAGGGGTTGGTCGAATTTGCGGCAAATGAGTATCCATCCCAACGCCAACACTTTCTCTTCCAGTCCCCAAGCATCCCGCCAAACTCACCGACCCTAACGACACTAGCCTCAGAGTCAAATCCTTCTTGGGAGAATCAACACTTTGGTTCAGCCAGCAGCTTCTTAGGTATGTATCTTGTCTATAGCTCGTTATTCATTGTGTTCTTCCACTTCCATTAAAGCAGTCCTGTCTTTTTTTCTTAAATCAACAGGTGGACATGCTTCGATGGACAGGAGTCCGAAGATGCACGAGGAGCCTAACCAGTACGATCGTGTTCCCCGGAAAAGGCAATCTTTTGATCACGAGCGGCTGACTCCTCAAGACCCGAAAAAGTCCAAAAAAACATCAATGAAAAAGGATGGCTCGATTACACAAGAGCCATCCTTTTCCATTATAAATTCTGCGGATAATTATTTGACACCATCATCGACCTTACAAAGACTCGAGAGGAAGCCAGCAATCAAGTATGAGAAGATCATAGGTGCAAACAGACAGTCTTGGAAACTGGTGGATTTGACACAGACCAAAGCCATATTGGACGTGCCCGAGCATAGCACGATTATGAATGGCAAACCGGAATGGGAAAGAGTGACTCGATTAGACATCTTTGGATTAGACTTGAAGCCGTATGGATATGTTCATACGCTGAAGTTTCCCGGAGAACGGCGCTGGAAAAAGAACGACTTTCTGGAGACTGATGTGCTCCACAAGAGCGGATTTTGGAGATCTCTGGCGACCACCAACAGGGATCTTCCTGTCCTGGTCCAAGAGGCCATCAATCCCTCTGTTTCTCCGCTTCACAAGACGCTCGAAAAGTCGCGCAACTTGCTCGAAGAAATCTTCTTCCGCGACGGCCAATTCCTGCTCGCTCTGACCTCGAAAAGTCAAAGTAAGAATGATCTGCAGACGCAAAAGCAGCAGAAGGAGGAGGGAACTGTGGATATCAAGGATGAGTTGAAGAGGAGTCAGCTCAGATCTCACCAGCAACATCAACTTCTTGAATGGTTGATCAAGCTGTTTGGGATCGGAATGGGGTCTCCAACCTTGCTTTTCGAACTGTTCGAACTAGACCAACCGTATGACTCGGACCACCAACTGATCAGATTCCAAGAGATGCTATACGAATATCTGAGGATCGAAGAGCCCAAGAGCGAATACATGATATGCAATCTGAATCCGATCTCTCCTCATGAGCAGCGGAAAGTGAGCCATGCGGGCGCCCTGAAGACCCAAGTCGCACTGAACGCACTCGGGATATACTACAAGTATTCGAACCGAGCTCAGTGGGAGATGATGTTTGAATCGGATGCGGATTTCGTCAACTTCTTTGGGTTCCTGAAGATCTACGAGATCAACCGGATGGCCCATCGGGTGTTTGGCTACTTCAGCCAATGGGCGGCGCTCTCCTTCTTCCCCTGGGAACTCAGAAAGCTCGACTTTGGGAGGATGGTCGTTGGTGGTGGTGATCGGGACTCTAGAGCGATCGACAATGGTCTCCAAAGGTTCCGCAGAGTCGCCCAGAACCCTCGCTGGAAAAACCTCGAGAAACACTTCGTCGAGCTCCGCCTGGTCCACCATGATCAACTGCTCATACAGGCAATCACTCCAGCTACCAATCTGATGTTCTGCTCTCAGCCGTAGTTGCTCTCTTCCCTGCTTCATCAAATTTTGCTTGGCCTCGATTGACTTTAGATTACAGCTTTGACCTTCGTAATTGGGATCCATCAATCACGATCGATCCAGCTATTATAACCAGGAGAATTCTTCCCCCACAAGATTGTTTTTTTTTTTGTGGTCTATCTCAATCACCCTCATTTCAAACTTATTTGAATTCAAAAACATTTATACGAGCATAATGTCTTTCTTTTTTTTTTTGTATTTTCCTTGGTGTATCTATTCTCAACCTAGATATTTGACCATTCCAGAAGGCTGCTGCAAGATTTGCACTAGAAAGGATTGCAAGTAAGATGGAACACTCAAATGAACCTGATTTTTCTGGATCAATCTAAATACCCTTGAAGCCAGTATGATATAGTAGACTTGATGTGGATGGATGAACAGCACTACAAATTCAATCAAATTCCATTTGGCTCATGCACAATAACACCAATTCACATGGGCAACATGTGATCTTATTGTGCATGGGGAAAGATGTGATTGATGGGGCAAGGTATCAAATTGAAATTGATACCCATTTGAGGTAACATTGCATGGCTGCAGATGTTAATGAGCGGGACTCAAAGTTGAAAGCAAGTCAATACTTGTACGGATTTTGGCCGCGCATTCTGCACAAAGGAAGTATGCAAATCAAGAGGCCTTAAAATTCATGAATGCAGCTTGTACTTGGTAGAGGTTCTATCTATTCTAACCTTGCCATCAATTTTGGAAACCCAGTACATCCATCCTACGTTGTGCCGAGCAATGTCTTGCCAAAAACCCATCCAAGTTAACTCCCATTCAACTTTGGAAAGCCCCTATTGCACATGGGCTAAATGTGATCGGATTGCTTTTGTAGTGCAGATTCCACTTTTGAGGGGGGGGGCACCATCTACATTTGGGGAACCTCTCCCATTCCAATGAGTTGGTTGTTAATCAGAAGATACCCCTCTTGAATATACAGCTGTCAGGTTGGCTCCAGTCTTGGACTTTCCAAGCAGCTTATCAAGTCCCACACAGGGATGTTTGAAGGTTTCCCCCCCCCTTTGGGATGAAGAACCTTAATTGGTTTTGGTTGCTAGACCGAGGGTGTGTTTTACACACACCCTTGGTTTGCTAAGCCAAGCCCATTTATCCATATTGCAAGGGCTTTCTGAATCAACGTTTTTGTGGGAAAACACACTGATTGTTTTTTGGGGCCTGGGGGAGAGGGGGGGGGGTGTTGCCTCATACCCCTGAAAAAGGGGGGGAGGTGGCATGGATTTATCAATCTCCCTTGATTGAGGTTCCATCCATCCACTCCACCTTCCTTGAAATCTCACAAAGATTGAAAAGCTACATATCCCACAAAAATCACTGCCAGTGATTTGGTTGATTCTTTCAGTCTGGGTTACCATGTTGAAAGTTCAAAGGGACAGAAAACAAGTCTATAATCGTATTCAATCTGCAACAAACAATCTCAATTTGATGCTTCTTTTTAGAGATCGTTCGTCGGTACCCGTTGCTAGGTACCTAGTACCGCTCGGCGGGTACCGCCCGCACCCGCCTCGCACCCGCCAGGCGGTGCCGGGTGCGGTGCCGGGTGCCGGTTTTTTGGCAAAAAAAGGGGAGGTACCCGGGTACCGCTCCGGGTACCGCCCCCAAGTGTCTTGACCGGAAGGGTTTCCTTCCGGTCGATGAGGTAGATGTACCTCATCAATCGGAGGGGTTTCCTTCCGGTTGATGAGGTACATGTGCCTCGTTGACCGGAAGGAAACCCTTCCGGTCAACCTGGCCGGGACGCTGGGGTTCCCCCCAGCCTCAAGGCCATTTTTTTTTCTTTTTTTTTTCTTACTTTTTTTTCTTTTTTCTTTTTATTTTTTTATCTCTTTTTTTCTGTTCTTTTATTTTTTGTTCTCTTTTCTTTTTCCTTTTTTTTCTCTTTTCTCTTTTCTTTTCTTTTCTTTTCTTTTTTTTTTTTTTTTTTCAGCAATTACAAACAGTTTTTTTTAAAATTCTTTTCAATTGTTTTTGACTTTATATTTTTTATGTTTTTAAAATAAAATGATAGTCACAATAAATCCCCCCCAAAAAAACTCAAACAAGATGCAAAAGGATTGTAATGAACCTTGCAGTCAAACTAAGTGAGGAAGAGAGGGGAGGTACCCGCGGTACCTGCCAAAAGTACCGCCGGTACCCGCCGGGAGGTGCCTGGTGCGGTACTTGGTACCTATTTTCTGAAAAAAATCAACAGGTACCTAGGTACCAACAGGTACCCGAGTACGAACGAACGATCTCTACTTCTTTTTTTTTTTACTTGTGATGAAAAATGAGGCTAGCCTATCTCTTGAGGTTTTTCTGGAAGCAGATACCAACAATAAGACTGGGAATTGGAAGGGTCAACAATCAATTTCACCAACAATGGGCCAGTTTTTCCATCAGTAGCGTTAGCTCAGCATAGCATAGGGTAATTCTGATAAATTTCAGTGTAGCACAGCCAAATTGCACTGGCTCTATGCTAATACTAGTGCATGCCACAAAAAAAAGGAACCACTATGCTGCACTATAGTGAATTTTAGCTGTTTTGTGGCATTTTTTGATGCTCAAAGTATTCTAGTGGAGTGGCACACACTCAAGAGCTGGCACAATTAGGTTCAGATCTGTTTATGTAATTCACAATCCTGTTACATAATAGCATCTAGCTCACAATCAAGACAAGTTGACAACATACCCAAGATATGTAAGTACAACAGAGTATTGATCAAAGCATGTCCACCCATGTGTCAGAGAGAGAAAAAAAAATATATGGCATGTTGGACCACAAAAACTAGTCTTGGAGCACATACCAATTTTGTGGGCAGCCACATGTCCCCATAAGGGCATTTTTGCCCTACACCGTTTATTGATATCATGCAACTACTGGCTGGGAGGGATTACCTCCGGTCAACAATGCTGCATAACCTGGAAAGACTCCTCTTTGGAGCCGGAATACCAAGTATCCTTTCGCTGGGAAGGGCTCCTCGATGAGCTGGTAGACCTTGCACCAGCTGAGAAAGGAAGCCTTCTCGGCGAGCTGGAACATGGTCAACTAGCTTGTTTGACAGTCGTTAGTAGTGGTCGACCCTATTTTTTTGGTGGAATGAAAGCCCTTGTCCCCCATCTCCTGGCCAGAAGCACACGGAATTTCATTGTAAGAAAAAACTCGCATAAGACACCATGTTCAATCTTCCTGCGCAGCGGACTTTATTTCACCCCAATCTTGGTGAATGTGGTCTGTATTCCCACAGGACATTGTACACTCTGTGCAATACGCCTCACAACAAATGAGAGTTCTTTGTAGCCTGGTTTTGGCAAGGAATGGGGATTCACTCACTTACATATACGGAACACGTAAGACTTCAGCCAGGCTGAAACAACTTCCGTGCCCATGAAATATTCTATACGGTGAGGGAAATGTACAATTGGCAGCATCATAAAATATTTCCCTCCAGTAATATGTAAGGCTAAATATATGAAGAAAATTTTGGTTTCCATGTTCTTTCCAAGGAAGAGTAAAACATTGTGTCATTCAGAACACTTTCTACCCCTTTGGCTTAGCGCTTGCTGGAATCCTCCTGTGTACCCGATCAGTAAACTCCAGAAACTCCATTCACCGTCATTCAAGATGATGATCAACCAAACTACGCAGAATTCATTTATTTTAAAACTCGCTTTTCTTCAGGCCCCTTTGATTGCATACCTAGCTCGAACCACAGCTTCTCTGCTTGATTGGGATACGGGAAAGAATTGTTATGAAATGGACAATGCTGTCATAGACACAGAACCGGGGTTTTGGAATCTAAATCACAATACTTCTCCGAGCCCATTCCCACCGCTTTCACCAAGATTGGAACAAGAATCATTTTTTGAAAAACAGTCTGAGGCGGATAATGCCTGGTTTGAACATGAATTCCCATCCTTCTTTTCTGGCAGCCCAGAAAGCCTGACTACTAAATCATCAGTCTCAGAACCAATCAGTCTGGAAAATCAACACTCCACTTCTAGCGCTTCAATTAGTCATTTTCCATCCTCCTCGAACCAGCTTCGAGTTGAAGATTATCTCGAAGATAATTTGGTTGAGCTTTCTGCAAATCAAATACGGTCTGGGTGGGAAATTCTTCCCTCTCACTTCGAAAGCCTGACAAACCCAGCCATGTCAACAACAACGCCAGAGCGAAGGTTGTGGGAGGAACAGCAATACAATCCACCCGGTAGGTAGTTGGTTCTGTCTTTCAGATTATTGATAGCTAGTTTTTGAATTTCAAAGCAACTGAAATATCTGTTCTAAACAGAAGCGGGACATGCTTCGGTTACAAGTAGTACCAAACCACATGAGGAGCCCAACAACGGTAGCCTATCTCGCAAAAGAATTGCCTTGTTTGACAGCCCACCTTTTCGAGATTCAAAGAAACTTCGGATATCACCAAAGGAAATTGTAAATTCAAAAGCAAAAATAAGCAGCTCTAGTCTAGTCGCCCAACATTCAAATATCCAAGAAGAAGGAATTGAAAATTGTGACGAAATTATAAGCCCTTTCGACATTCAATTAAGTGTCTACGGGTGCATTAGTTCACTAGTTTTCCCCGGGTATATGATTTGGAGACAGAAGAGGTTGTTTGACACCAACGTACTTCACAGCAGTGGTTTTTGGGCAAATCTCAAGACCACCAACAAATACTCCACGTTACCAATTCTAATTGAAGAAATCATTAATAAATGCGAGAAGAATCGTTCAGAAATCATTCTTGAGCGGACAAGGAGCTTGTTGGACGAAATCTTCTTCCGCAGTGGCCAATTTCTTATCACTTTTACTATAGGCAAAATGGCTTACAAAATGAAGAAGTTTGGTACTGAAACTCAGGAAGTACTTGTCCTAAGATCAATAGAGCAAGAAAAACTTCTTGAATGGTTGACCATACTAATGAGCTCACAACTGTTCCAACCAGCGGATCTGCAAGATGGAGCTCACTCCTTAATCTTATTACACAAAATTCTCTTTGAATATCTAACAACTGAAGAGGTCAGTTCTGACTTGTTGAAAACAGCATCGAATATATACCATCCAAAAGAACAGGGGGAAATGAATTATTTTAATGCTTTGAAAACACGTATTGCCATCAACACTCTTATAATTTACTATAAATACAGCAATATGGTCAAGTGGAAGCAACTTTTCCCATTGGATCATTACTTTGTCAACTTGTTCGCTTTCCTCAAGCAAACCGAACACCACTTTCACTTTGCTCGTGCCAAAAGAATTCATTTGGATCCTTGGGAAAAAATGCAAGTCTTCCCGTGGGTCGAACGA